GTGTGTGTGTGTGTGTGTGTGTGTGTGTGTGTGTGTGTGTGTGTGTGTATTCATGGTAGATGGACACTGACCTTTGGGAGCCAGGAAAACCTGGGCTTAAATTTTGCCTCTGACACTTAGTGCTCATATGTTTCTGGACAAACCACTTTACCTCTGCCTACCTCAGTTCTTTTATTGGTAAAATGGGAATAATCATAGTACTGGCCTTCCAAGGTTGCTGTAATGAGATTATGTATGTAAAGTACTTTGAAGACCTTAATTAAGGGCCATTTAAATATCATCTAAGATTATTAAACACCACTGAGTCTGTTTCTAACCTTAGTCTAGAGGTTAACCTATAGGCCAAAGTGTGGTTGGCCTCAGCTGTTAGTATGCATGGATCTGACTACAATCAGGAAGGAAAGAATGGAGGAAGGAAGGGAGTAAAGGAGGAAGTTAAGGAGAGAGAGAGGGAGGGAAGGAGGAAGAGACAAAATGAAGGAAAGAAGGGAGAGAAAAAAGAGGAGGGAAGAAAAAATGGAGAGCTGGAAGAAAGAAAGAAAGGGAGGGAGGGAAAGAAGGAAGGGAGAGAAAGAAAGGAGGAAGGGAAGAAAGGAGGGAGGGATGGAAGAAAGAAAGATAGGGAGGAAAAGAAGGAAGGAACGAAGGAGGAAGAGAAGGAGGGAAGGAAGGGAGGAAGGAACCAAGCATTTATTATGCACCTGCTATGTGCCAGGCATTGTGCTAAGCATTTTAGTAAATATTTCTCCATTTCCCTGGGATTCTCTTCCTCTTCAAGTCCGTTTCCTGGAATCAGTGAACTGACTTTGAAATGTCACTTTGAGGCATGACCTATAATTCTCCATCCTGTGGACTTTCTCCTTTCTGATTCACTCCAGGGATTAATTCGCACCTCAGAGAGGGATCACTTGGCCTGACTACATTTTTTACAGTTGGCTTGACACCTCCTTTTTTGATCTCTTTTCTGTGATTAGGTCCTAGGCTTCTGGGGATACTCTCTTGAATAAATCTAGATAGTATATATTCAAAATTAATCTAAAGCAGTTTGCAGAAGGAGCGCACTAGCCCCTAGGGGAATCAGGACAGGCTCCCTGATAGCTAGAATTTGATAAGGATAGTAATGATAGCTAGAATTTAGATAGCCCTTTCAGGTTTGCAAGCACTTTACATATGTTGTATCATTTGAGCCTTACAACACTGTAGTGAGATAGATGCTAGTATTATCCCCCCATTGTACAGATGTGGGAACTAAGCCTGACTGTGTCTAAGTGACTTGCCCAGGATCACCCACAGCTAGTAAGTGTCTGAGATAGGATTTGAATTCAAGCCGTCCTCCAAGCCTAGAACTCTGTCTACTGTGTCACCTAGCTGCCTAAGCTTCTTGCATCAAATACATTTTCTCTGAGTGTTGAAGGGTGTCAAGGATTCCAAGAAGCAGAGGTGAGGAGGGAACACTTTCTAGGCATAAGGGGACTCATGTGGGAGATGGAATGTTGTGGGTGTGTGTGAGTGGAACTGTGAATATGGTAATATGGTGAAATCACAGCATGTGTGGAGGGAGTAGCAAATAGGTAAGAAGACTGGAAAGGTAGTGAGGGCCCAGGTTGGGAAGAGTTTTAAAAGCCAGATGGTGGAGTTCATATTTGATTCGAGGGATAATTGGGAACCAATGGGGTTTATTGAACGAGGAGGATAATCAGACCTGTGCTTGAGAAAGACCACCTTTGTTTCTGTGTCAAAGATGGATTGGGGGGAGGTTGGGAGGAGGGGTGTTTGAGATAATTAAATAAATCAGAGAGCCATTGCAATCATCTAGGTGAGGGGCAATGAAAGCAAAGAAGTGAATAGAGTTCCAGGCCTGGAGCCAGGCAGACTCATCTTTCTGAGTTCAAATCTAGCCTCAGACTCTTACTAGTTGTGTGACCCTGGACAAAGCACTTAACTCTATTTGCCTCAGTTTCCTCATCTGTAAGGTGAGGAAGGAAATGGCAAACTACTCCAGTATCTTTGTCAAGGAAACACCAAATGGGGTCATGAAGAATCAGATACGACTGAAAATGACTGAAATGAAATCAAGGCCTGAACTAGGGTGATGGCTCTGTATTGGGGAGAAGTGAATGTATTAAAGAACTGTCATCTAAATAGAAACAACGGGAAAAAAAACAACAACATTGGATTTGGAGTCAAAGGACTTGGGCTCAAACCACATCATAGAATTAGAGCATTGGATTAGATGTTCTCTAAGGTCCCTTTCAACTCTAGATCTCTGGTTCTGTGCTCTGTGGTTCTATGATCCTGTGACCTACTCAACGTTGTGCAACTGGTGAGGAGCCAAGGTCTGAACCCGGGTCTCCTGACTTCGCATTCATTGATCTTTCTAAGTCATGGTGCCTAGCTCAGTGTTGGACACATAGTAGGTACTCAATTAAGACCACTGATTGTTGATCGATAAAAACTGATTCCCAGGTCCCGAGTTTAGGGTTACAAGAGATATTGGTGCGAACTCACCTGAAGTAGCTACAGTCTCGAATGCTGTGTCACATCTTAAAATTAAGCTTGCGTTTTAATGGAAAGCAGGAAGGCAGATTTGTCTATGCACCTGGAATGGAGTACTTACACGAAATGAAGCTCCAGAGATATAGTCCAAGTGGGCCAAGGAGAGTTTCATAGGGCTTGCCAAAAGCGTTGTACATGAAAAAGGCTGCCCCTGCCATTGTCAACACAATAAGAATTGTTGAGAATAGAACAGTATTCACATGGATACTCACTGGGATGGCTTTGACCAGATCTGGAAAAACTGAAGATTGAAGAAAACACAAAGGATTAGAAGTCTTGTTTTCAATGGACTAAAAATAGATTTCATTGTAAAATCTTTTCCCCCCTTCTTCCTCTTGGGGACCATTAAAGCTCTTTCAAGCTTGTGCAAGGCACTCCATCTCTCGACTCTGTGTATGTTCCCCATTCCTGCAACTCTCTCCCTCTCCTCCTTTGCCTCCTCGCTTTCCTGGCTCCTTCCTTCAAGTCTCAGCTAAGATCCCACCTTCTGCAAAAGCCTTCTCTAGTCCTCCTTAGTGATTAAGGGAAGAAAGCAAATATAGGACTAGTGCCTTGGAGTCTGTATTTGGGGGGGGGCGGTGTGAAGATTTCAGCCTGAGATTAGCTCTAATTTATTCTGTATTTATCTTATTTGTACATAGTTGTTTGTATGTCATCTTCCCCATTAATGAGATAATATTTATAAAGTGTTCAACACAGCGTCTGGAACATAGTAGGTGCTTAATAAACGTATCTTCCTTTCCCTTCCTTTCCTTTCCTCTTCCCTTCCCTCTTCCCCTTCCCCATTCCCTCTTCCCTTGCCTTCCCTTCCCTTCCTTAATAGAATGTGAGCCCCTTGAGGGCAGGAACCACATATATGCCTTTATATCCTCAATGCTTAGCACAATGCTTGGCACGTAGTAGATGAATAATAAATTCTTATTGACTTGACTTCAAATAAATGAGGTGCTTTTTTCATTATAATTACAAGCAGATTTACAAGAATATTTAAGGACAGTTTGAAGAATTCAGCCCTGAAAACTGGCAAAGACTGCCATTAGACGAACGTTGAGGGAAAAACTGATGTGACCTTGTACATACCTTAGGTCAGTAAATAATAGCTCCCTTTCCTATCTCAGTCACTAAGCATACTGATAAAAATTTTAATGGCATTTCTCAGTAGTTCACTTCATTTTTCTAAAATTAAAGTTCTGGCTTAAGCTATTAATATCATTTCCAGTGTATTGCTATTCAGACACTAAAGAAAGATTTCATCTTGCCCTTAGCTCTACAGAAACATATTTCTAGACCACATTTAAAGCCCAAGAAGTCCTTAGCAACTGTCAATATTTTTTTATGTAACATGAATCTATGGAAAATGAATTTCTGTGATTGACACAAGAATAATTTGATTTTTTTCTGGCCAGAAGAAATAACAAATTAATTCCTAATTTTTATATTCATGGCAAGATTTAATTGTTAGCGGATATAAGGTGATGAATGATCAACCGAAACCCATTCCTGTGACCTGACAAAAATGCATGTGACATTTGCGAAAGTTGGTTAGACTATTCATAGAATATTGGGGATGTCCTTATTGTATAAGTATTGAGATGGGAAAAAAAGAACTGAAACATAGATCCTCACCACCAATGAATATTAGAGATATTGGCATTATTCAGTTCACGTGGAGTCGTCTCTTATCTATTTGTGTCGGGTTGACTCACTTGGTTAGTCTATGGTGTTAATGAGCCTAAAGTTATATGGTTTTCATTCCCACATGAACCAGTTGGCATTATTTTGTTCCACGACCACATGCTGTATCTCTGACCATGGCCACACATTTTCCAAGTACATATCACAGGTTATAAGGAGAACTAGGTAAGGACATATGGATAGAGTAGTGAAAATCCAACCCCGCTGCTGGGAAGTCTTGTATTCTTATGGAAAAGAGAAATGTGAAGAAGACGATAATATAATTAGGTGGATTTGGAACTGGTTGAATGGTGAAGATCCCCAAGAGGAACCATCAGTAATTTGATGATACTTAGAAGGAGATTTCCAGTGGAGAGCTGTACTTGGCCCTGTACTGTTTAACATATTCTTTTTAATCAGGCCTAGGTAAAGGTGGCATCTTTGGCAGATTTGCAGATGACACAGGCCTGGGAGGTATGGCTAGCTAAGATTGAGTGACCAAGTCAGGATCCAAAAAGATCTTGATGGAATAGAACAGAAGACCAGATTGAATAAAATGAAATTTAATAGGGATAGTTGTAAATGCAACATGAGGACCAGTGGATTGTGTGCAATGGGCTCTTTCTTGTATCAGCCCATTGGAAGGACTGGTGAGCCTGTTTGGGGAAGGAGGCAAGGAAGGGGTGATTCAGGTCATGTGTAGGTATTCTCTCTGTATACTAAGAAAGTACAGCAAAGACAGAACTACAAAAAGATCCCTCCCCCCAAAACAAACAAACAAACAAAACACTGGGGCATGTTCTTGTCTACCATTTCAGTCCCTGAAGAGAGTGGATTCACACTTAAAGTAGTGACTACCAGCATCTCCTCCTAGTTCCCTTTAGAGTGTGACAGTCAATGGATGAGTCATTCCCATGATTTCAGGACATGTTGTTTTGGCTCCTGGGAAAATCACTGTAGGGCTCAGTCAAGCAGGCACTCCTCGCTGGCCTTGACTTAGGTCCCTTCTGACCCTGAGATTCTGTGATTCTTTAAAAAAAAAAAATCAAATGTGTTCATTTGATTTGGTACCAATAGCATCATCTTCTCATATGTGTTTTCTCAAGTCCTACATCTTCTAACCCCTTTTCAGAGAAATGGCTAACCTGAGGCTATCATTGCCATCTAGGAGGAGGAGTGTTATGCCAGCTCAGCTTCAGGCACGCTTCTCATTCCTGAATCCATTGATCTGTACCAACTCTCTATCCAAAGGCAAACCACTGGCTTTATTGCTCCCTGTAGCTCCATTCCTGATCTCTAGGAGTATACAATTTCTGAAACAATGCCAACAGTTTAATGTGGAATTTCTATCCTGGGCCAACTATTAATTCTCCCTATACCTCTACCTGTGATGATGAGTCAGGCTACCTCCCTTCATCCACTGGTAGACATCCTATGCCATAGGAAGGATCAGTGATATTTCTTACTTAAATCTGTACAAAAGTTGAGGGTGTGTTAGTAAACTGAAGCAACTTAGAAAGATGTATGCCCTCTTATCATACAGGAAGTGAATAGAGGTGCTTAAAATATATGTACATATTTGTATTTAATCCTCATAAAGGTCATTATCAGAAAGTTGTATACCAGGAGATTAATTGCTTTATGTTATGCTTACTTATCAGGCTGCTACTTCATCTGATGAAAAATACCTAGATATCCAATGACTATCTAGATATATTAAAACTAATTTGTATTTTCTCTGATATGCCTTTCTTTGCCTGAGGCTAAATGAAGAACATCCAGAGAAGCCCTGGGAGAAGTCATTTTAGCAAGCTTGGTCTGGGGTTTTAGTTTATTAGATACTTTAGAAACAAGAGTTGGGTGACTTTTCCTTTTTTGTTTAGCCCACAGCATGCAAAATGGGCAGGGGACTCGGGGCTTTCCTCATGTGTTTCTGGATCTTTTATTAGCCTGATCATTCCTATTGGGTCTGCTGCTCTAATCATCTGGTGAGCTATCTACAAGGCAAAAAAAAAGGGTGAACGGCGTCACCACTGCCATATTGTATTTCTCTACATGGTATATTTTGCCCCTCTGCTTACCAATATGCTTATTTCTCTTTCTCAAAGCAAACCCTGCTTCTCTCTTGATTTATATCTAAGGGAATGGTTTATTCCTTGGGTACTAGTCTCTGACATAGGAATGGAGGGGCCGGGGAGCCCCAGAAACATATCCATCACTTGCTTACTAGTAGAGCCTGTGGCCTGCTTCATCATTGCCTCTGTCTCAGGGGACGTGGGCTAACTCAAGACTGTCCCTGAGATCTCCCTCCTGTGCCAAGAAGCAAACAGTGACAATTAAGTGACTCACAAGATAGAGGGTTGGATTGAAAGTCAAGAAGACCTCCCTGTGCCTCAGTTTTCTCATCTGTAAAATGGCATCTTCATCAAATGTTTGTTGTGAGAACAAAATGATATAATACTTATAAAGTACTTTGCAAATCTTAAAATTATGTGATATAATAATATAATATAATTATTATTAATACACTACATAATACTTGTAAAGTATTTTGTAAACCTTAAAACTATATAATTCTTCTGATGCTGCTGTTATTGTTGTGGTTAATGGAGCCTAGACCAGAGAGATTCCCTCTCCCTAAGAATATATTCCCGGGATAATCTAACCAGAGTCTGGGATCATTGGCCCAGATTCCAGAATAATAAAAGTAACTCACACAGAAGGAAGGGTGCAGAAAGACATGTTTGGACTTATAAGGAGTAAAAGAGAGTTTCCCTCAAGGGCCAAGGATTTGACTAGCTTTTAAATCTATTCAATACAAAACTATCAAAATGGTAAATACCTCTCCTGCCAATTGATGCTGATGAGAAGGGTGGTCTACTTGATGATATGAGACCTTCCTTAACTACTGCTTTTATGGCCTGGCCTTTAATCAGCCTCCAGGAGAAATTCATTATTACAACAGGGGTCCTTAACCTGAGGTCCAGGGACCCCAAGGGGTCCTTGGGTAGGTAGAAATATTTCAAGGGAGCAGTAGGGTCGGGGAGATGAGCACATTGAAGGGGAAAAAAATACCACATAAAGAAATACAATATGGCAATGGTGACATTGTTCACCCTTTTTAAAGAATGAACAACTTCCTTTGACTTGTAGACCCACTTGTAGTGGGTCCATGAACCTGGATGGGAAATATTTATATCTATATTACTATCAATATCAATATAGATATATATTTTATTTTCACTAATCTCTGAGATTTAGCATTTGACTATAATAAAAAAAAATCCAGCACTAATTTGAGAAGGGATCCACAGGATTCATTAGCTTGTCAAAGGGCTCCATGACACAATACAGGTTAAGGTCTCCTGTCTTATAGAGAGTGGCATCTTACTGCCTCATTGAATCACGTCTGCCGTCATGATTAAGTGCTTCATATTAAGGCCCAAGGCTGATACTACCTGCTCATGGAACCATTTTTATTCAGTACAACTGAAAGTCAAATCAGCTCAGGTCCCATTAGTGTGAATATCAATGGTGCATTCTTTTCTATCTCATGACACTTCTTACATATAGCTAGGTCCCCATTGATGTGAATAAGGAATCCAATGATGTGGTCCCAAGTATTCAAATTCACACTATTCAAAGTTGTGATTATGTAAAAACATGTTACTGGTTCCAACTCCATGGAAATAAGCAATGTGAAATAAAATAATTCAACTATTTCATTATTCACACTAATGGGGACTTAAACTGTAATGTTGTATAACATAGTTATTTGAATAATAGTGTTATCTATCCGTGAGATCAGGATCACTATTATAGACCCCCATCTTGCTGTAGTGAATTGATAAATATCTAAATTGACACTTAACTGAGAAAACTATCATGTAGGAGCTCCTATCAGAAGAGGCGTCCTTCACCTTTAACATTCAATCAGTCAATTGATTAAGCAGTTACTATGTGCTAGAACCTGTGCTAAATGCTGGGGACTTTGTTGTTGTTTAGTCCTGTCCAACCCTTGTGACTCCATTTGGGGTTTTCCAGGCAAAGATATTGAAGTGCTTTGCCATTTCCTTCTCCAGGAAACTGAGGCAACAGGGTTAAATGACTTGCCCAGGGTCACACAACTAGTCTGAGGTCAGATGAGTCTTCCTGACTTCAGACCCAGCTAACTCCAGGCCCAGCACTCTATCCACTGTGCCACCTAGCTGCCCCCCTGGGGACTTAGACAAAGTCAAAAGCAAACCAGACTTTGCCCTCAAGGTGCTTCTATTCTATCAGGCTGGAGGGCAGGGTAGGGACAGCATTTATATAATTAAATATATTTGGAAATAAAGACAAGGTAATCTTGGAGGGGGAAACCCTAGCATCTGAGGAAATAAATCTGGAGGGACCTCATGGAGAAAACATCCCAATGGGCTGAGCTTTGAAGGAAACTAGGGATTTTAAGAGATTTTAGGAAGTGCATTCCAGGCATCAAGCCCAGAGACCAGAGATGAAATGCAAAAAGAAGGAGGGAAAGCCAGTTTGGCTTGGAAGTAGTGTGCATAAAATGGGGAGGAGAATGTAATGAGAGTGGGAAGGTTTGGGACCAGGATGACAAGGGTTTAAAATGCCAAAAAGAATTTGGGTTTGAACCTCTAGGTAAGAAGGAGCCCCTTGAACTCTTTAGAGCGTGGGATGGATACGGTCTGATCTGTGATATCACTTTGGCAGTTATGTGGAGGAGTGCGGATTGGAGAGGGCAGAGATTAGAGGCAGGGAGACCAAGATGAGAAGAGTCTGAATCAGGCTGGTGTGCCTATGAGTGGATAGGAAGGGATCCAGGTGAGAGATGCAGCAGAGGCAGAGTAGACAAGACATTGTACACAGACTTCAGGACAGAAACCTCGGCTTTCTGTTCCTCTCTCTTCCCATTCTCCCTCTGGTCTTTCCTGTCCCCATGCAATTAACTGAGAAGATTCCATCTGGGAGACACTTCTGGTCCAGGCTTCTTCACACCAACAGCCTAATTAGAACCTCAGGGATGATTTACTCTGCAAGCTTCTAAGGACTGGTAATTCCCTCTCCCCCATGGCTGGCGGATTCTTCCCTCTGGCTTTTCCAATTGTTATTCAGTTTTCCTCTCTGGAGAAGAAAACTCTTTTCATCTGTTACCCCTCCAGCAAACCATTGTCCCTCTCCAGATTATCTCAGCTTGACCGCAGTCCTTGCCCTGCATTGGGTTGGACTGTGCCTTCTGGAGCTCCCATTCTGTGTCCAGCTTCCCTTTGAACTCTCCCTTCTATAGGCCCTCCAGTTGCTGGCACTGGCTTTCTTCTTCTAAAGACCCTGAATCTTCAATACTGGTCATTCTGTCTCTCAATGTTCCTCATCCCTGGACCTCCCTACCCAGGGCCAGGAGGAAGAACCACCATACTTCTTGTTCATCCTTGCCATTTTAAGACCTTCCCTCCTGGATTATGCTCAGCAACTTGTCCCCATTTGCAATTCACGCTATTTTTCTTCTCTGTGCTGTGTGGATCCTTGTTGCTATTATCTACCAAACTCTAGCATACTCTCCTTCCTTCCTCAATGAGTTCAGTAGCTGTTTCATCGTCTTCCTCTCCATCTCAACCATGGCCCTTATTATTGGTAACTTCAATACTTCCAATGATTACCCTTTTAGCATTGTGGTTACACAGTTCAACCTCAACCCCAATGACCTTGGTGACCTCCCTACCTCAGCCTAGGGAGGTAGGACCTAAGAACCTATCATTGCCCCCAACCTCAACCTGAACTCTGAAGTTTTCCTTTCTGATACAGATTCCAGTCTTTTTTCAGCTCCTCCTACCATCTTATTTCTCCTAAACTGTAGTGGAGGGGGCACAAGATTTGTATTCATCACGTTCTGGGTTCAAATCCTTCCTTGGACACTTACTAGTTGTATAATTCTGGACAAGTCACTTAACCTCTGTATGACTCACTTTCCTCATCTATAAAAATAAGGGTGTTGGACTCAATGGCCTTCTAAGTTTTCTTTCAATTCTAAATCTATGGTCCTATCATGGAGAAGCAATTTTTTTTAAAAAAAACCACCCTTATTTGCAATCCTGAAACTATAATAAGATCATAGTTTCTTTAGCATAATAAAAAGCTCTTTCCTTAATTTTCCAGTTTGAAGGTGGGATAGATCTGAATGAAAGGGGAAAAAATGCCTTTTATTAGGGAAGAGGAGAAGGGAACATAAATTTATTCATTTATTTATTTATTTGTTTGTTTGTTTATTTATTCTTAGTGAGGCAATCAGGGTTAAGTGACTTGCCCAAGGTCACACAGCTAGTACGTGTCAAGTGTTTGGTCTGAGGCCGGATTTGAACTCAGGTCCTCCTGACTTCAGGGCCAGTGCTGTATCCACTGTGCCACCTAGCTGCCCCAGTAATCTTGCTTTCGAGTTTTTTGGTTTTTTTTTTTTTTTGGCTAGGCAATGGGGTTAAGTGACTTGCCCAGGGTCACACAGCTAGTAAGTGTTATGTGTCTGTGGCTGTATTTGAACTCAGGTCCTCCTGAATCCAGGGCCGGTGCTCTATCCACTGCGCCACCTAGCTGACCCGAACATAAATTTATTAAGTGCCTACTATGTGCCAGGGTTGTGCTAAGACTTTGCAAATATTATCTCATTTAATTAGGTGAATAGATTAAGAACCAGAAATTTAACAGAGTGTCTCTTGTCCAAATAAAATCATTGTCTTTTCCCACCCCTCTATGAGCCCAGGATATGGGCCTATCTAAGGACAATCTTCTTTTTTGTGACTCTGGAAGGAAGGAAGAGATGAGAAGAAGATTGAGAAGTAGTTTCTTCATTGCCCCTCCTATTCAATTTAAATTCTCAATATAGGTCTGAGGGAGGAACCCCATCGATCCTTCAATGAGAGGGTTCCAAAATAAAGGAGAGAGAGGGAGAGGAGGGGTTATGATATGTTAACCAAGAATTATATTGTTACATATCTTGATTTTCTTTCTTCAATTCCTATAAATATTACCTAAAATTGTCTTGAGGCAGAGACATGTCAGAGGGCAAGGGAAAACTCTGCCATACTAGACAACTCTCCCTCTAAGTTAGAAATGACTCGGAATTAGGTTAATCTAAAATCAAATAAAATTGTTTCTGGCAGACTGGTGGCAGACTAATTCCTGACAGTATTAATATTTTTCTTCGACCCAATGATCCTATAAATGAATGCATATGTGCATATGTGCATGAATAAATGAACAAATGAATGAAAAGCCCATTGTGCTAAGTACTCAAGATTCAAATACAAAAATTAAACATTCCTTGCCCTCAAAGAGCTTCCATTCTAATGGAGGAGACAATACATTTGGAAGCATGTTGGCTTGGGAAAGGAGTGATGTATTGGGAAGTCACAAAGATTATGAACAGAACAACAGAGCAGTCCATTACTATTCTTTCTAGGGGCAATGGTAGTGGTGATTTGATTGCACTTCTTTGAGAAAGGCAGGGTTTGCTGTGGTATCATGTGGTGAAAATGGCCAGGGAGTGTAGAGTGTAGAACCAACTAGCTTAACACCTCCCAAGCATGGATCTTGGTGGTCCAGTTTAGAGAGAGAGGCAACAGCAGCAGCTGCAGTAATTAAATGGTGTTGGACCCTTTTGCACTCCTAGTATATCATCCCTGTAGTACCCTCATATTTGCCCCTTTGTGGTGTCAAGCCTGTAATTAGTCAGCTCAACATGGTACCATCTTCTGCCCTCCAGTCTCTCCTCCCACTTTGTCTCTATGCTGTTCACCTCCTACCAATTCTGAGTCCTGGATCACTCCCACCATCTGCCTTTTCTACTCCTATTCCCTGGCGGCTGAACACTCTAGAGAAAGTCAAGAAACCATGCAACAGATTCATGTTATTTAACACAACTTGGCCTCAAGGCTCCATGTGGCATTCCTCTTATCTCTCTTTGATTGAGAATCACAATCTTTACAGCATTTATTTGAAAACCCTTCAAGCTTCCAACTCTACCCACACCACACAGCCTCAGGAAATGACCTTGCCTCCTTCTTAACTGAAGATTAAGGCTGTTCACCATGAGCTCCCCTTCTCTATGCCTCAAAAACCTCTTTCCATTTTTATCTCTCCTCCCAGAGGGTGAGCTGGATGTTCTAATTCAGATACATGTGCCCTTGATCTCTTCCCCTCCCACACTCTTTAGGATCTTAACCTATCGATAATTCTCTCTCTCCAACTCCAACTTTTTCATAGCTGCTGTTCACTTTTTTTGCTACCTATAAACATGTTCAAATATCCCCTTCCCTTTAAAAAAAATGGGGATTTTCTTTTTCCTTTATGCTACCGTGGTCTCCAAAACCATGCTACTTATTCACTCTTCAACCCCTTATTGGCCTCTGGTCCCACCATATTGCTGAAACTGTCTTCCAAAAGGTAACCATTGATTTATGACTTTCTCTCACTACTCATCCTTCTTGACTTCTGTAGTGTACAACAGTACCAAACACTCACTCCTTCCATGCTCCCTAGGGCTTCTGTGACACTCCTAGTCCTTTGCTTCCTCCGTTTTGCTTCTGTTTTCTTAGCCAAGGAGAATGACCTCTGCACTGGAAATATCAGAACAAAAATAACTAATTGGGAGTTGTTACCCAATATAAATAAGTAGATAACAAGAGAGGGCCTAGGTGCTCTTGATGAAATCAAACCCCTTGGGTTCAATGAACTGCATATTGTGGGAAAGAATGAGAGGATGTGACTGCTGAGACACAGCCAATGGGAAAATCATGGACAATGAATGAGGTCCAAAGTTATCTTGATTTTCAAGAAAAGGTATGGGCTTGCCTGCAAACTATAGTTCACTGAGCCTGACTTCAATTTCTGGCAACATTCTAGAATGTATTATCAAAGGGATGGCTAGTGAACATCTAGAAAAGGACATAACAGTCACAAAGAACTGACCTGGCTTCATTAAGCACAGTCCTGCCAGACTCACTTTATATCCATTTTTGACAAGATTCCTAAGCTAGAAGATCAGGACAATACTGCAGACAAAGTTTATTTAGATTTTAGCAAAACATGCAATCAAATACTTCATGTCAGTCTTGTGAAAAAGATAGTGAAATGTGCATTAGATAATAGGATGGTTCACTGGATCCAGAACTGATTAAATAGCCAGACATAGAGAATAACAATTAATGGTTCTATGTCAATTTGGAATACATCTCCAGTGGAGTGCTTCAGGGATCTCTGCTTGACCAAGTGTTGTTTAACATTTGTTCCAATGACATAAAGACATCAATGACATGTCAGACAGTCCCTCACACTTATCATGCTAGGTGACAGAATCAAGAACCCAAAAAGTCATGAAAGTGTAGAACATGAGTGAATGAGAAGAATACTAATAGGAATCTATGTAAACCTTTACACCTGGGCACAAGAAATGGACTTCAGAAATAAAAGATAGGGGAGGCATGGTTCGACAACCATTCATCTGAAAATCTTTGGAGGTTTCAATTGATTGCAACCTCAGTAGGAGTTTCCTACAGAAACCTCATTTCCTTTAAATATGACTCAGCCTCAATACCACCTCTTCCATGAAGCCTCCCTTGATGAGCTCAGATGAAAGTCTTCTCTTTCTCCTCACATTTTCTTAGAAGACTTCATCTGCGTCTCCCCTTGTCCCTCACTATACTCCACACTTTCCATTGTACCTCTAGGTATAGGGATTGTGTGTCCATTTTTGGTCTTTGTATCTCCAACCTGAGCACCATGATTGGCATGACAGGCAAAATGGCCTAACGGATAGAGGGTTCATGCTGTGCCTTCAAATGAACCAGCTATGTGACTGTAGGCAAGTCACTTATCCCCTCAGAATTCCAGGGAGTTCTCTAAGACTCTTATATAGACGAGAAGGTATGATCTAGGTAAGTAAAGGAAGGAACTCATCAGAGCTCCTTACATTGATAGTTTGTTTGTTTAATAGCAAAAATAACAGCTTTTACTTACATAGCACTTTCAGGTTTGCAAAATCCTTAATGTAATGTCACAGTGCCTGGTACATAGTAGATGCTTAATAAATGCTTGTGGATTGATTGGTTGATTGATTTGATCCTCGCCACAATCCTGTGAGGCGGGTGCTATTGTTATCCTTATTTTGCTAATGCAGAAAAAGCAGCTTAGAAAGTGACAAGTTATTTAAATTCTCTATATTTAATTTTCCTCATCCGTAAAAATGAGGGGGTTGGAAGAGATGACCTCTAAGGTCCTTTTTAGTTCTGATTCTATGACCTTCTGCATTGCTCACATCACAAATCTAGTAAGTGTCAAAGACAGGGTTTGAACCTGGTCTTGTTGATAATCGGTCTAACACTCTTTGCACAATGCCAGGCTGCCTCCTAGGTGCTTAATAAATGTTTCTTGAACTGAATCATTTAATGAATAAAAATTATGAGAATGAATTATTTATTATGAATGAATTATGTCTTTTACAAGGAATGATTGAATTATACCATGAAAGGTTAAATGAATCTGAAGGGGGAGGGGCAGGTGACTAACTTTTGAGTTACTAAAGTCAATGCCAGCATTATATTCCTTCTGGCTCTAAATCTTACCTTCCTTGGATCTTGCTCCCTCGGATATCGATGTCCCTTTTGCAACTTTTTGGCAAAGCTTGTACTAACGTTTCCAAATCCCTCAGACCTCCTCCATTTCCTCCATATATACTTTGCTATCATTTAGGTGACAGCTTTGACTAGTAATGGACCCACCGGGGATCCTTCACCATCCTTTGGTGGAAACAAGTCAGTTGAGCAATCTCAGAGAGGGGATAATCCAATTATTTGAGGATTAAATAAGGCTACATCCCAGTCAAAGGCATTAGAGTCACAACAGAATTAGAATATCAGAGCTGAGGAGAACTTCAATGATTAATCCAATCCCTTCATTTAGCAGAATGGGAAAATGAAGCTCAGACATGAACAGACACTCAGGTAGGACCTCCTATGAGAAACTTGACATTATCCTGTCAAGTTCAAGGGCTCTTAACTTGGGATCTAGGAACATTTTTTTTTAATTAATAACTTTCTCAGTAACTTTATAATTTTGATGCATTCTCTTAAAAATGTTTAATATTCATTCTTTATTTTGAGTTTCCACTCTCTCTCCAGATCTGACGCATTTTCAAACATTATTTTGAGAAGAAGTCATGGGTTTCTCTAAATTGCCAAAAGGGTCCCTGGCACATAAAAGGTTAAGAACCTCTGCCCAAGTTGCTAGCACTTTATTTCCTCTCTTGTGCAGCTATAATTATTAATTAATTATTATTAATTATCTTGCACTATTATACAGGATTAAAAGGCAGGTTACATTTAGTCATGTTGTTCAATCACATCCAAAAAACCCCATTTTGGGTTTGTTTGTTTGTTTTTGGCTAAGATACTGGAGTGATTTGCCATTTCCTTCAGCTCATTTTACAGATGAGGAACTGAGGCAAACAGGGCTAAGTGACTTACCCAGGGTCACCCATCTAGTAAGTGTCTGAGGCCAGATTTGAACTCAGGAAGATGAGTCTTCCTGATTCCAACCCTGGCATTTTAGTCACTGCACCACCTAGCTGCCCACTTAGTCATCTTTGTCAATATTCTACCCTCTCTCCCAATAATTTGCTCTCCTGGAGGGGAGGGAGGGACAATTTTTCATTTTGTCTTTGTATTCTGAGCATTTAGTACAATGCCTTGAATGTAGGAATGAATGAATGAATGTATCAATGAAGAGAATATTTATTAAGTGCTTATTATGTATGAAGGATTGTGCTAAATGCTAAGCATACAAAGAGAAATGCAAGACAACTCCTGCTCTCAAGAAGTACACATCCTAATAGTTTAGATACTCATATAGGAAGCCTCAGCCACAAGTCAGATGGACCAGCCCCATGGTCCTCAGAGGGCAGCACCAAGCAGATAGTGATGCATCATTTAGAGAGAACACTATTTGTTTCTGATGTTGAATCAGTTGACTATACCAAGGACTTGGCAAGAACTGTGTATTGTGGATCATCAGAATTTGGCACCCTGGGTCCCCTAGCTGCTCAGGAAGCTCGTGCTGCAGGCCTATAGAAGTGGGTGCCCCGGCTGATCGTCTATAGGGACCACTGATTCCCTGGCCGACGTCCGCAGGGGCTGGGCTACATCAGGGTCAGAGAGGGGAAGGGTGCTCAGTTAGTGAGCACTGCCATTCCCAGGGAGCTTGGGAATGAATAATAAAGTAATTCACCCAAAGTCACACATCAAGCTAGTGGTAGATTTGAGCTAGAACCCAGTTCTCCCAACAGTCTAATCTTCTTTCAATATAACATTACATTCAAATAAAAGAAATGCTCTGCAGAATCTGGGGCTCCATACAGAAACAGTCCACAAGAGCCTAATGTTCCTTTGAGAGAAGAATTGTGTTCTCAGTCACAAAAGCTCCTTTTGGAAATTTAAAAATTGGCAGGGGTCCAGTCCTCTAATTTTTCATGGAGATCAAATGTGGGGAGGCAAAGAACCTTGACTGATGGCTATAAATGAGCAGATGAGCTAAGCTGACCTCTAAGGTCTTCCTGGCCCTAACATTCTATTATTCTAAGCACTAACTGGTCAGTGGGCTACGTGAAGACTCTTTCCTGAGGGAAGCAGCCTATTTTCCCATTATTTTTAAACTCTCCAATTCTAAGATTCTTTGATAGAATTCTGAGCAGGCGGTGATTGTCACCTGCATCGCTGCATCTTTGGGTACATGTACATATATTAATTTCTTATGTGACGCCTGTCACAGACCTTTCTTTGTACCTGATATATTATCCCCATTCCCTCTTCCATCTCCCTCCTGTAATTTCTCGGTCATTCTCACTAATGACTTGTCTGAAATAATCTGTTCACAGACCCGGACTGATGGCGTGCCTCTAGGAAGCACCCCTATTATTCCCCTCAAAAGGAGCACAGATAAATGATTAGGATAGGGCTGGCCTCTGGAAATCCATTAGATGAGGGCTCAGACTTTTGTGGGACCCCATGGGGGAGGCGTCTCACTGTACCATCTGTTCTGCTCTGTTAACCATTCACACTTGGAGCTATAGCTTCTGGGCCATACCTGGGTAAGAGTCAATTGGGACTTTGCCTCAGAGTACCAAAGTTTACAAGGTGCTGACAGGGCTCGAGCCTTTCAGCATCACAGAAACAATTGAGCTTAGAAGCTAGTTAGCAAGAATAATTGGTTAAAATAGGAAGCTATCAGAGGGTGTCCTATCTCCTCCCAAGGGAGTTTCTTCTTTTCTCGGTCCTCACCTGCCTCTCCCCACAGCTCCCTCTCTAGTCCAACTTTCTGGAAAACAATTGGGAATTACATGGAAAAAACTCACTCATGCCCCTCTGACCTGGAGATCTCATTGCTGGGCATATGATCCCTTCATCGAGCTGCAGCTTCTTGGCCCCATGCGGTATCTGCTGCCTCACATCCATTTTACTTTCCCTCCTGCCCCCGTCAAAGGCATGTTTGCTCCAGGCCCATATAATGCTACTTGCCTGAGATGTACAAAAGGACTAGTTATGGTTCTGGAAGCCTCTATCCATGCCCTGAGCAGAAAGACTGATACCAGAAAGTGGAGCCTGTGCTGGTGAGTACTCCTTCGTGTCAAAGGTAACTTCCATCATTCCCTGGAATCTATGGCTCCATGCAATTAGACAAGGACCTCAACACTGAAGGATTACCGAGGGGTTTCATCTGAACGTGCCTGGAGAATTCCCTTCTAGTATAGCCACCAGGCAGAGCCATGGTAGGGGGCAGAAGAACCTTTCTGAAGACTGGCTGCCCTTTTCAATAGAAACTCTCCCCTTGGCCTCCATTGAGACAGCCCTACCATGGTAAATATCTTGGTTGCTTTTCAAGCCCATCCTTGCAGTTGCCTACTGCTTTGACCCTGTCAATGCC